AACTCAATATTACATGTTATCTATGGCACTTTTAATGTTTTTTTTTTTTACTTTTACTTTTACTATGATAACTTTTTAATGTCGTGTGTCAGCTGACGTTGACAGCTGTTAGTTTAACAAAATAATCTGCTTAAGTCTATTTCATAAATTCATAAATTCAGTTGCAGACGCTGTCTCGAACCCACTCTCGAATGTTCACGGACCGCTTCAATATGGCGGACGTCGGCTCGGCTGCTAATGAGGCTGCTATGTATATCTATCTAAGAGCTGCGCAGACAGCTGAAGTACCCGGATGAGTCAGTGACAGGAAGAGCTGCGCAGATGTGCAGCAACACAAACACACATCAGCCGACACAGGCAAGAGCGCGGTTGCCTGTCCATCCTAGTTCAAACCACCTGCCCGATCGATCTGTAAGTGCTGTATCTTATTTTTAATGCAATATTCATGAAAGAGAATATCCGCTTGTGAAAATGAAAATGAAACGTGCAGCTTGTTGAACTAAAGGCTTGATGCACTTATGATGCTATGCATGTTAGCGCTTGATTAATGACAGCTCCTTCTGCTCTATCCGTACCACCGGAACCTTATGTGATAAATAGCACTTCTGTTAGAAGTTAGACACTTGTCGTATGTGCAGTGATGAAAGCGGCTTTTATAGAGCTTTAACCCTTTATATATGAATATGACAGATGTTTTGATGCACGGATCATGTGTGTCTATATAACGTTACCATGATGATGGACACCCTACATTATATAATATCAACATCTGTTTTCATCCAGCTGCAGCATGATCTGTGTTGATCCCTTTTAGTTTATAGGCATAAATATGACAGGAAAAGTGAATGGGGATTGAAGTTTAAGCATTATTTGAAGTGTCATATCATGTGTCAAAACAGAATGAGAGTTATGTCTGCTTTATCTTGCTTCACTCAGAGCGTGAGCTATGCATGTTATGGCAAACATGTTTTGTTTAAGTAACTTTCTTTGTGCTCTTAATACAGTGAAATCGATCACTGTTGTGCTAGGAAAGCAAGCAAGCCAGTTAACAGTGTCATTTCAATGTTTTGACTCACCACAGAGGTCACAACCTTTCTTAAAGGTCAAATTTTGACGTTTTTGCTAGCCTGCACTTTTCTTGTATTATCATTCAATATTACATAAGAAGTGATAATATGCTGTGAGTTGCTCATTATCATTATAATAAACCACTTCAGGGTCATGTAACATGATCTTGAGCACCATGTCATCGTCTTACTCGGGGTGGATGTTGTGTTTATGTACAAAATGATTACCAAATTAATATTTGATATTCATTTAGTAATAATGATAACAGTCATTCTTTAGAGATATCTGACTGTCTGACATGGCATTGTTTCCAGAAGTATTTTCCCATTAATTTTTCTCTTAGGAATTAAAGACAGATAGATAGATAAATATTACATTTATTGCAAAATATGTAGCTATATTATTATATATAAAATAAATATCTAAGTAGTTTGAGAGTGTATAGGGAAACTATGGTTGTGTTCACAACTTCACACTTCTAGTTTGGTTGATACATTTAGTACTGTTTTGCTCACGTTCACACTCATTTTTAAAACTTAATCTAAATATAGAAAACAAAAAAGTCTTTATGACGTATATTTTCTCGACGGAATTTGTCGATCATCCAAAACAGTGTTGTGCTCTGGGCTAAATGCGCTCGCTGTATGGTCGTAGGCATAATATGATGGTATTTTGTCCTGTTTTTGGTTCGTTTACATGTCTTTGGTCAAGTGTCAACACACCCTATCTCTACATCATTCACAGTGCATAATGGGAGTGGGCGGGTGCTAAAGTGTTCTTTTTGCACAATTTACTTGTTGTGATTCTCTGATTGGTGGAGATTTCTCTGCAGAATCATGGGTAATGTAGTTTTTCCACCACTGTTGAACTTGTTCATTTACAAAATAAGTTCTAAACAATGCATTTCACGGCTTCAACAAAAGCATTTACCATCAAATAACAACCTCGTATCTCACAGTAGGTCTGTTTTTAAAGTTTTACTAAGTTCTCGTTTAATCAGTTCCCTTATGGAAATAATGCATGGAGTTTTAACTTCTGGATCCCGAATGTTGCGCTCTACTAATCAAAATCAAGTTTTCCAGTATGTTAATTAAGTATCGGAAATGTATTCTATAACATAAGGAAGTTTTATTATTATTGAGGTGGATTTCACAGATGGGTTTGAAGAACGCTGTGTGCGTGTCAGACACATTTGTGTCTAGCTACTCCAGTCATGCTTGTTATTCAGGCTGAATAAACCTATTTCTCATCTCTCTCTCCCTCTCATTCTCCCCGCAGGCTTTAATGTTTTTAAAAGAGCTAATGAGAAACTGCAGCTGTCTTTGATTATTAATGAATTCTCTCTTTAAAGAAAGCGGATGAATGAACATGGCAGCTCACATACCCAAATTTCTGCCTGCCATAGCATGACCAACCTCATGTTATTCTGGCTGTGCCCTTTAAAGTGTCAACTATTTACATAAAAACCTAAAGCGGTCACAAGCCCGACACACAGTAGCTGTAACTAGTTGTCAGTAAGAATTGATGCAAACGAACCCCACATGTGTCAAGCAGGTTTACCTGGCCCTTCTCGATGATGTGGTTTGGATGTGTGTGTGTAGGTGGTGTTACACCACAGGCACAGATCTGATGGTCCCCAGCTCACCGAGTCACTATATGTTGTCAGAAAAGCGAATAAACTCCTGGGGTCTGCTGTGAGTCAGTCTGTTCTTCTACAGGGCCAGATAACATCAGGTCCTCTAAACAAACAGCCAGGTTCCTAATGGCTACAGTTTCCTCTTTTATAATGATTCATTGGTAACATGATAAATTGTGACATAATGGTGGAGTTCTGTTGTATAAGGCAACACAAGGCAAGTTTAATTAGCACATTTAATACACATTGGTAATTAAAATTATCATAAAATATGCAAAAAGCAAAAAAAATAATAGATGGATTAAATTAAAAACGCATAACAAATAGGGAAACAATGAGCTAATACAATTAAATCTACTGCGTTTGTGGCTAGTCCATGTCCATTAGCTTTGGGATCTTCTAAATATTTGTATACACTTAACTAGACTATAATTATGCACGACTCATGTTGAAACATAAACATTCTTTTTTTGTCGAATCACAATCAGATGAGACTGTCCCGCTCCCTAATGCGTTGCACTTCCTGATTCAAGGCTGTGACACAACATTGTGATTTTAAAATGTAATGTACTAAAAATGTATTTATCAGCCAATTCCATATCTCTTTAAATCTTTATCCTCCCGACCTCTGAACTCAAAACAGTGAGTTTTCACTAATTTACAGTGCGTCCAGTATTTGATGGAGTGAATATTTTAGTGGAAAATTAGCTTTTAATTTTTATATTTTCAGTTTTTATTATAATTAAGTTAAGTTTTAGTATGTTCTTTTGTCATTTTTTTTATTTATTTTTTCAAATTTCCATTTAGCGTTAATTTATATTAGCTTTAGTTTCTGTAATTATACATCAACTTAATGTTATCTTAATGGAACTTATGTTATTTGCCAAGGCAACATTTTCTCATTTCTAAAGTTTTTTTTATACATCTAGACTAGTATTTTTTTTTTTTTTATTAAATACAGTTTATTTGAAAAGTTTTAGTTAACAGTACAACACTGGATTTAGCTCAGTTTGTTCATTTAATGCACATTGTTGTGCCTTAAGCATTATCATTGCACGCAGTGACCTAAAAGCATTCATTCATTCATTCGTGTTTGCGTCTCCAAAATCCCCCTGAGCATGGAAAAACAAAACAGGCAGTCTGCTTTAAGATCTGTAAGATGCTGCATGATATTGCATAAGCTCTGTCATGAGACGGTATAGCAAGAAGCATGATGCCCTTTCCCCTATAACAACCCAATGGGGACCATCATGGAAAATCTCCATGGTATATGAATTCACCATTCAGGGGAAGCAAACAATCAGTATGAGAGAGAGAGCATATTGAATATATATATATAGAGCATTTTCTACATCAGTTTATTACAGCAGACTAAAGGGACACAGGACAGCAGGTTGGTGCTGATATCTATGTGTTTATGTATGGCATGGTATTCATTTTACACAATTTTCTTTTTTTCTTGTTGTATCTGTTTGGTTATGAGCCAAATATTTACCTGCGTCATTTGTTCAGCATGTTTGTATGAAAAGGGTTGAATCCATTCTTAAAGAATGAAGAAAAACCTGATTAAGTGATTCATTTGTATCATCACTCAGAAATGTTTACAGAAGTCTCTGAATTTTCCATACACTAAATGTTTTAGTTTAAGATACTATTGCTAATAATTAAATGAATTGGTATATTGGTAAATATAAATGAAACAAATTTATTGTAATTTATTTAGAAAAAGAAATATTTTTTTTGATTATTTTTTTTTTTCTATTGTTGGATTTTTTTTTTTTTTTTTTTTGTATATTTCACTTCTCATCCAATGGAAATTTTTAACTGATTACATGATCAATGGATTGGATTTTCAAATTATATATTAGATTTTCTAAATATAATATGTTTAATATTCACATTGATTTATATTTATTTTTGTTAAAACCATTTTTTTTAATTCCTTTGTGAAAGACTATCTCTAATGATATCATGTAAAATGATACCAAACATGTGAGCTAAAAAAAAACACATTGATAAAAAACCTATTTTTCATTTTACCTCTGAACAAAGCAGAACAAATGGAGAAATCTCAAGAGTTTTGATTCGTGCACTACACTCAACCAGCTTGAAGTGGAATTATGGGTAAACTATGAGTCAGTTCTCTTAAAGGCCAGCGAGCTCTTTTCATGATGGCTCATGGCCATTAAAGTGTCCCTCTGATTTGTTCTCAGCGGCTGAGCGGGAGCACCGTTGAGTGGCCGTGAGTCCTGCAGGGGTTCGAGTGGATCTTCATGCTCTCAGTCAGCTGGGCCTTATGGACGACGGACAGTGGCAGAGCGATGGCCCAGTGAGGCGGGCAGGACTAACCGACTCCGACCTCCTAAATGACTCAGAGTCCAGCCGCAGCCCTGACGAGAACCAGAACCGACTGGTGGAGGAAGCAGAGGAGGTGGAACAGGGGCCCCGTGGTGGACAGAAGCCCCTCAGACAGGATCATACTAATAACAATAGTGATGATGAAGATTACGACAGCTCCAAGGTGGAGGACGAGGAAGAAGAGGAGGAGGAGGAAGAGGTGGACAGTAACAGTGGCGCATACTCTCCAGAGCTGGATGGACACATCCGAGACTCCCCGACACCCAGTCCCAGTCCTACAGGTAACAGACACTGTGTGTGTGTGTGTGTGTGTGTGTGTGTGTGTGGTTTAGCAGTTGATTGAAACCAGGCTTAAAAGATGCCTTCATATTAATATAATACCCTAATCATTCAGTATAGTGTCATGTGATATGTTAATTAAAACTACAACTAAAACTGTTAAAAAAACACTTTACAATCAGGTCCCATTAGTTTATATTAGTTAATGTATTATCTAACATTAAATAACAATTGGGAAATACAGTTTATTAATCTTTGTTAACATTAGTTAACGTTACTGTTCACTGTTCATGTTAACTCAGGTCCATTAAATAATATTAACAGTTACATTTGATTTTAACAATGTGTCAGTAAATGCTCAAATTAACATGAACGAAGATGAATACCTACATTAGTTAACATTAACGAAAAAAATAATTCTAAAGCATTAATATTATACACTTATTGTTAAGTGTTACCAATTCTTTTTATTAATGGTATTATAAATGGTCATTTAAATAAAGCTGAATAAAATCAAATATATTAGGTGCAAAACTTGGGTGCCAACTTAAATGAATATTAGAAATGTTGGTGTTGGCATCTAACTGAAATCAAATAAGTTGAAGAACTAAAATGACTGAAATTACAATAAAAATCGTTTACATTTTATTTTAAGGAGTCATTGTTATAGTGTAATTATATGTTTAAGTACTGAGTAATATTAATAAACAACATGTACTTACTATAGGATTAGGGTTTGGTTGAGGGTTAGTTGCATGTAATTATGCATAATTTAGTGTTATTACTATGTTAAGTACATGTAACATATGTAACAAGGACACTGTAAAATAAAGTGTTACCTAAAAATCAATTCAAGCGACATACATTTTTTGAAAAACTATTAAAAACAGCAAAATTACTAACACTTAATATAAAATGAAAATTGGACATAAAAAACATCTAAATATTACAGTAGTACATCAATCTATCATCAACCCAAAGTGTGAATCTATCTGGTTTATGACATATGCAGCTGTTCTACCATATTACAGTATTTATTTAGCTTTCCATAAACTACAGTAAAATACTGTTTGTTCAGAAGTGCCATGGCTAAACAAATGAATAAGCTTTGCATGCTAAAAACAAATTTTGGTTAGTTTTCGCATGTCATTCCTCATTAAAACGGATCCTACAGTGCATTACGGCCCAGAGCAGAACCAGTTCATCAGTCCCAAAGCTTCACGGAATTAGAGCACAATGTGAGATTCTCCTCGTGTTGACCTGGAAGCAGTCATCCCAAGTTAAATGGATGTGTTGTTGAGCCATGTGTCAGTGCATGTGCGTGAATGTTCTTCCACAGTTCTCACACAAATACAATCCGCCAGCTCGCCTAGGAGTTAGTCTGCGCAGGTCTTTTGTTCAGTCAAGTTCTCATCTGCTACAGTGAGAATTTGTAAAGGAAGAGCTTGTCCTTTGCCAAAGATTGGGAAGTCCGTGGCATTGAATCATTACAACATATCATTCAAGAGTTCAGAGAATCAGTAGCAAGTCAATGATATCTCCTTGAGCACACCTGTATATCCCTTCCCCTAAACTAAAGACACATAAAGAAATGAAGCTTGGTGACTTTATATGCCAGTCGAATGGACTTTTTCTGTCAAAGTTTGCTAGGATAAATTAGATTATATGCTACTAATCAAAAACGTACGATTAGTAATCCATTCTTTCTGCTTGGTACGTTCAGGAACCAGGTCACACTTATACACAAAAATACAAATTACTGATACTGAATGGTCCTTGGACTTTAAATTGTTTCTGAGGTACAACCTAGTCCATTCAGTGTCATCCTAAATTACATGAATGCATTTATTTGTCATTGGCTTGATCAGGCTGTGGGTGGAGAAGCATTTATTGTCAGGCACCGTGAGTAATAGCGCAAGACTTTTGTTTCTAGTTTTGCTGTAGAGCGAGTGATTGTATCCCATTGTTGTCGTGCACCTTTCAGACAGGTTTGAGTGGCATGAATAATATACGGGCCAACCTCTAGAGTTAGAAATATCTGTGTTGATGTACAAAGTACAAACACTGGGTGCTGCCGCTCCATTCAATTTAAAGGGACATTTTAGATGCCTGTGTGTTAGATGTCTTGTAATGAAAAAGGACTTTAGGTCTTAGAGGCCGATTACTTGACACCATTTTCAACTAAAAACGTAAAACTTTTTATGTGTTTTGGCCATTGATTTACATAACAACAGTTTTTGGGGCCTGAAAATGCGAACTTTCGTAAACGGGTTTCAAAGTGTGAGTTTTTGAAAATTATTCCGTTATTGTCTCAGTGTAAACTACACAAACGTGAATATGTGAAAACAGTGATATCATGCGTTCAGTCTATAGGCGCGTAGTGTTTCTTTACAATGTGACATCGCCAACTACTGGCCTGGCAGCAGAATACAGGGTTTTTAGTCGTTTTTCGCCGATCTGTGTGAACGGGGATCGTGTCGACGTTGTCGTCTATACACGATGCAAAGGAAAACCTTTCCCATTTTTAGTACATCGCTGTCATGTAATCGTACCCTTAGATAACCACATCAGGGTTATTAACGTTAACTAAAATTAAAACTATAAAAAGAAATGTGTTAAATAAAACAAAGCTAAAATAATATGAAATGCATTATAAAAGCATTAGACTAAATTAAACTTTTAAAAAACTAATTGAAACTGGTTGATATTTGAAGCACTCAAATTAAAAATGGGATAAAATAATAAAATGGAAATAAATAAAGATTAAAACTGAAATAAAATCGAATTAAATCGTAATAGTAATATGTAAATAATAATAATATGACAAAAGCACATTGCAAAATGGCTAAAAATGAAAACTGCAAATATAAAAAATAAAAGACAATTCACAATATTAATTAAAACTATAAATAATACTAGTGTATAATAATACTAAAATGATACTGAACCACAAAGTCCATTGGTAATAATAATTATGCTGAAATGCCATACAGTTAGTGTTACTTGAGTGAAACCATAGTCAATTTTCAGTGTCAACACTTTTTAAAGAGGATGTTGTTGTTTTTTCCAGTGTCAGAGGGTCTTGTCAGCCCTGAAGGACCTCCTCAGGGCGATGCTGGTTCCCCCCAGGGCTTCGGACGCCCCCTGTCGGCATCTCTCCAGGAGCTGGGGGAGCAGGGAGACCACCCTCTTCTGCCACACTGCCTCCATCAGGTCTCATACTAATGTTGTTCATCTCCTCTCTGGGGGTCTTCACAGGGCACTTAACCCCGGGTTATTGTCATTCTAAACCCCACTTTAAACCTCGGGTAAAGGAATATTTCACACGTGTAATTTAAAAGCAGGGTTAGCACCGTTTTTGCGCTGTCAACCCTGCATTGTGGTGCCAAACATGTGCAGTGTGAAAGAAACATACGGTGTCAGATAATTTCGACTAGATGCTTAGCAACAATCATGTGTTGTTTTAAACAATCATTTCAGCATTTGATGAGAAAAAAGAAAGTCAAATGGTCCGAAAAGACCATTTAGAAAACAACTTGATAGTACAGTCGGCTATATATGATATGGGACAGGTGAATGCCAGAGCTTCTACAGGTCGACCAATCAATGACACTGACACCATATATATGCAAATAAGGACGTTAACCCAGGGTTTAAGAATGGACAATGTGAAACGGCAGCTTATGAATACCCAGGATTAATTGTTATCCTCGGGTAAAGTAAAAGCAGTGTGAAACGTGAAGCAAGATCCAGGATTCCGTTTACCCGGGGTTTAGAATAAACCAGGGTTAACTATTTGAAGAGTGAAAAGCCCTCATGCTTGTCTTTCTGTTCGAAACGAGTAATGTGGTGTTAAATTAAATGTTGTTAAAGTAAATGTCATCTCTCACCATTCATTCATTAGTGCGTGATCCTTTGTTTCTAACAGACTTTAGTTGGATTTGATGCAGTATTTCATTTCACGGGAATGAAAACAAGGCTGGAAGGGATTGATGTTTAAGGTGTTGAGTATGTTGTACAAAATAATAAATCATAAAAACATAAATATATTAAAAAAATAGAGATTGGATGCACTGCCTACTTTGGAAAGTTGATTAGGCTGTTGAATAGAAATATTCTTTGTTGAATAGAAAGTTTAAAACAACAGCATTTATTTGAAATGGAAATCCTTCGCAGCATTAATGTTTTTACTGTCACTTTTGTTCACTGCCAGCCAGTAGATGGTGCAAACCTCTGATTTCTTCAGTCTAAGCTAATGTGCGTGAGCCAGATCATGAGATGAATTTGCCTGGACCGTTCCACATGTTAGTCTGTTGTTGCTGTTGGCCAGTGCTGATAACATTGACTGATAGCAGAACATGAAGTATCTGATAGGAAGCAGAATAACCAGCTCCTTAAATGGTCAAGCTCTATTAAATGTTGATTTGAGCTTGACCTTATTCAACATGTTTTACAAGAACTAGCTCAGATGTGCAGCTGGGTCTGTATCATCCCAAGGAAAGGTTTATAAGGAGCTACAAGACGACTGTCGAAACTGCTCGTAAATATTTCCCTGTGGATTTGTGTTCTTATAAGAGATTTTAAAAGGATAACTGGATTTTTTTTTCAGTGTACCATGTAGACATACTCTAACATTAACAACAAAGCTACTTCCCCAGCCCACCCAGATCATTTATTGAAAGTAAGCTGCAAAAGTGAGTCGTTCAGAAATCAGGATATGATCCATAATCATGTCAACAGACCTGACCTCCTATGTTTGTATGTCTGTTCAGGCTGTGAACGGTAATTTGAATTAAGTCGGTAGAAGAGATTTTGAGTGATTTAGTGATTAATGTAGTGATTTTCACCCTGACTGTCGCTGACTTTACTTTGCAAGGAGTTTGAAGAGAGCCGATGTCATGGGTTTTACTCGGATGGCAATAATGTGCATGCGAGTGTAGTAGAATAAATGCTGTCTGTCAGAGTTTAAATGACTTGTTTATCAGGTATAAAACATCTGTACAATTACAGATTGCGTATGCAGCCTGTTTCAGCTGTGCATCATCTGTATAGTTATTGGTAACACTTTATAATAACTCTCATTAACAATCATTATATAATGCTTAACAGATCAGTAGTTCATATGTGATTCGACGTTTCATCGCCATTTGAATGTACTTTTCATTTATATAATATGAAAGTAATTTCGAGTTACTGTAGGGTCTTAACTAATGATGCTTTTCACTGTGTAATTGAATGCATAATAACTCAAGGCTAAATTCATTTCTTTACAGATTGCAGAGTCATTTATGCATGAGGAGGACTGTATCCTTAACGTTTTTATTTGTTCGCATGTCTAATAATACAAGGTGCTGCGCACTGGTGTGTTTGAACAGCCTTTGGGGTTTTATTGATGCGTGTTCCATTATAGCTCCTTAATTTATACCCGATTGCCTTTGTTATTGTAACAGAATCAGGGATGCTTGCAATGTTTATGGATATAGAGCTTTTTATTGTATTACTTTTAGTGCACTACTAGAGCCAGTCGTCGTCTTGTAAGATAGTATTTCACTGTAGCATTCTTTAGGTCCGGTGTTGTAAAGTGCATTGGTGCTTTGGGGTTTCCCACTTGCTGTGGTTTTTCCTGAACCAGAGCATTTTCCAGATGAGAGAGCAGTCAGGTTCATCCAGTTAGAGAGACTCTATCATGAACGTCTCCTGTCCAACCTCTCCGCTCTACAGCAACTGTGGGGTGAGTGGCTTCTGGTTAACTGTTACTCAGATGTTCTTCTCGATAGAACACCTTTTAACTTACTCTGTGTTTCTGTGATCAGAGAGGAGATGGAGTTCGGTTGGCCGGTGTCAGGAAAGGCGAGAAGGCGGAGACGGTGACCTGGAGGCTGAACACCTGGAGAAACTGAGACACATCTGCAGAACGCACAGGCAGTGAGTGCACGATACACATACACGCTACGTTAGTTCAGCCACAGAACAGGTCAACTTTATTTATTCATTCTTATTTGATTTATTTTTTATTGCACACTTCATTAGGTCAGTCACAGAGATCAGGTCAACACTTTTATTTTGCTTCATTTATGTTATTTTTATTTTATTGCATTGCATGCTACATTAGTTTAGTCACACAGTCGACTTTATTTGTATAAAGTATTGTAAGTATTATAAGTATTTTTATACATTAGAAAAGTATGTTTTTTATTTTTATTTTTTGCATACTACATTAGTTAAGTCACACAGATAAGGTCAACTTTATCTTTTTTTCTTTTTTTATTTTGATTTATTTTTTTATTTTATTTCACACTTCAGTAAGTAACACTATTTTATTTTATTTTGTTTTATTTTATTTTATTTATTTTTTATTTTATTTTTTATTTATTGCATGTTTGATTAGTTCAGTCACATAGATTAGGTCAACAATTTTATTTTTATTCTTTTATTGCATGCTACATTAGTTTAGTCACATAGAGAAGGTCAACACTATTTTATGTTATTATTTATTTTATATTTATTTGTATTTATTGCACGCTACTTTAGTTCAGTTGCACAGATCAGGTCAACACCATTTTTATTTATTTTTTGTTGCACACTACATTAGTTTAACCACACAGATCAGGTGTAAACCATTTTTATATTATTTTATTTATTTTAGCTCTAAACTACTTTGTTAAAAATTTGAAATTAATTTTGCTTCCCCAAAAGTTTTCTCTTTATAATCTATACCCTCTTAGATCAGGTGTCCCATGGAGTTTGAGCTCTATAAAAATATGTTAGCATTGCTGTAAATGGAGTACAAGTAAATGTTTAACCTTTCGAGCCACTACACAATTTAAATACGGGGTAAAAGCTGTGTCTTTCTGTCCTATTAATTTGGGCCAGACACTTTCACCGGGAGCCGCACCTGAGCTTCTCTCTTTCCCCTGCTAAATTTAGCCAGTCTGTTTCTCATTTCGGCACTCTAGCTGCGGTTCGGAGTCCTGTAATGGTTTAAACATATGGCCCATTGCTGTGCTTTCAGCAATTTGAGACAAGTGCTAGAGTTTCAGTATGGGAAATGTGCCGTGCTAATATTAGATTCCCGCTGAGCGGAGCGACCTTAGATTTGCACGTCGTCCCTCTACGAGAGAGATGAAGAAAAAAAAATAAGGATACTACAAGTCCTTAAGATGATTTTGACTGACACTTCACTATTTCTCGTCTTTTTTCAGACCTGCGCGGAGTATTGAGAAGGTAAGACGGCCTCTTTGATGCACATGTTTGGGACTCCATGTGGATATGTATGTAACGTTTAAAGAACAGCAGGTGAAAGTCAGTGTTTTCTGTGTGTGTTCATAGTGTGAGGTGTCCAAAGTGCAAAGAAACAGTGTGATCAGAGAAACACTGGGAGGAGAGCAAAACCTGACCACGCAAGTGCTTTCATGCAGCTCAGGTGAGTTTATTTCGCCAATGACAGACCAGATCACATAAAATAGACCATGAACTATTGGGGGGGGGGGAAACAAACTCATTGTCTTGGACTTTATCAATCGCTTTATCAATTTAACATATTAATTGTTTTAAAAATATATATGAAGGGATTTTCCTACCATCTGAGCAGTTACCACAATTTGATATATTTCTGTGAAAAACAGAATATTCAGCGTGAAATAGGGCAGGACTTTTACATATCAGGATTTGGTTGGATGAAAACATGTGAAACTGTGATATTATTGATAAATATTGTTTTTCCTCATTGGTTATATCAGCGCAAAGTTGTGGAGAAAGTTATAATATTTTAATGTGTTTGTGTAAATGAAATTGCACTGAATTGTGGCAAATAAATCTACTTGACATTTATTAAGAAAGTAAATAGGGTAATAGAGTAAATAAAATGAATAAAAATTGAAAAATTGAAAAATTGATCAAATAAATATTTGTTATTTAATTCATTTAATGTTATTGGTTAACACATAGTCTACCATATGTTTAATAGATTAGACCTTACAGATTCCTATTAGGAAACAAATAGATTTAATTTAAATCAAATAAAAATCGAATTAATTAAATAAAGCAAATAATTATTTTCAGAGGTGGAAAAAGTTGCAATATTTGAATACATGTTTGTGAAAATAAATGTTCACTGAATTGTGGCAAATAAAACAACTTAATATTTATTAAGAAAGTAAATGAATTAATTCAATTATGTATTTTATTTAATTCATTCATTTCATATTTGAATATTGGAAGTTAACACCCAGTCTACGTGCACTTGCTAGATTAGACTTTAAAATCAATTTGTTTCTCGAAAGGAATCTGTAATTTAAATTCAATAAAAATGAATTAAACAAACTTATTTTACACCTAGTTTAAACCTAGTCTACTGTACATTTAGACCTTACCAATTCCTTTCAATAAGCATTCTTTCATCGTCTATGGACAGGACAAACACCATGTCCCCTTCTTCACACACACACACACACACACACACACAGAGACAGGAGTTAAAGTTAAAGTTTCCTTCTGTCCCTCCAGATCATGCTCATGATCATGCCTTATTGATGAGACTCTCTTTCTCACTAGCTCTCGCAGCTGATGTGGTGCTGGGCTATGTTACCTGAACACCGTGTTACTCGCATTGAGTTCCATGACCCGGTTTCACTTTTACACGCCAGGCATGGCAGCACCACACACACATTTTGTCACTCTTGCAGCACCCTCTGCCCGGCCACCTGTTCTGGGGTCTGCTTGGCCGGGACTCCAGCAGCAGGTGCATCTCACCCTGCGAGACACATGAGTTCAAGATTAATGGCATTCCCTAGGCCTGCTCATTCATGCAGAATTCTGGTCCAAAAGTTCATCCTAATATCATGCCTCCTGTTGTTAGATTTCACTGTGCGTTTGAAGTTGGCTTGAACTTTGGTTTCTGATTGTCTGATGCATTTCAATTCATCAGCAAAACTTTCAAAGAAAAAAATCTACTTTTTGTAAATGTGGCACAGAGAAAAAAATGTTGTGGCCAGGTTAAATGATAATTGTTTTCATGTTATGGCCAGTAACTCTATACAATAGCCAATATTATACATCTGTGGTATTTTGTCTGTTAAAAAATAAATAAAACACATTAAAACATTAATCAACAGTTTAATTTGGTTATGGAATGAAAAAATAAATTTTAAAGATGTGATATCCAGGCTGGAAAAGTCAGAAATTAATTAAAGTTAGTTAGTTTGTTTGTTATTTAAATATAAATATAAATATATTAAATCAATTAATTATTTACAAATTTCTTCTTTTTTTTTTAATTGTATGTATTTAACTAAATGTACATTTATTTAACTAAAAAACATTTATTAAAATTTATGAAATGTATTTATTTAATTGTTTAATTTGTTTATTTTCAATTATCCTTGGTTATAAAACATTTAATTGCTAGAAAATTATATAGGTTTTTTATTTTTAATTTTTTTAATCGGGTATATTAAAGTCGATATCGTCACCAACTTCAAACGACTTCAGGGGTTCCAATTCCAGTCCTCGTGCCTCCGCCTCACTGCACAGTTTGTATGTCTCTCTTATCTGACACCTGATTCAGATCATCAGCTCGTAAAATAGAGATCCATGAATTTGGGTGTGCACCGATTGACAGGGTCCCTACGCAGTGTTCACTGCTCCCTACTCCCTGAGCACGGGCTATCAGTTGAAGTTCACTTCACTTAACAAAATGTGTTCATTTGCAACACCCTGCAATATCAAACACAGATGAAACTCAAGTTGTGCATATTAGAGGACTTTACGGTTTGATGTCAAAATATTATTTTATAAATAAATATAATATAAATGATCATACTTTAATTTAATATGCATGTGTATAAAATCTATCTAAATATTTATTTTATTTGATTTATATACATATTAATTAATTATGCATTTCACTTAATCTAATCTGTCAAATTCAAAAGCCCTATACTGAATGATAAATGTATGTTGGGATGTTTAATATGAAAATAAACATAATTTGTTTTGTTTTTTTGGATTATGGCTTACAGCTTATGAAAACCCCAAATTCAAAATTAGAATATTGTGGAAAGGTTTTCATAGCTGTAAGCCATAATCATCAAAATTTAAGACATGCTTTTTTGGCCGGTTAATAATGGCACAAATACCAGTAAATTGACGAGCGCAAACCTTAGTAAATCACCTTGCGTGTTTCATTTAAATTCTCTTCTCCTATACATTTTGCATCTGAAAGGGACTACAAATGCATATGCATTAAGGTAATCTGCAAAAATAACTGTCCATGCCTTTTCAGCGCTAATTATTCACTGCGCGTCTTTAGTAATTCCTGACAGTAGTGTTTTAACACCAAAAGAGGGTTTGCACTGGCACAAGCTGTTAGTAAATCTGGGCCCTAATCTGTAGGAAGACAGCAGGGAGAGTGTAGTTTTGTAGAAAATGAGCGGTGGACTGTATCAGGCCCAGCGCTGGTTGTCATGTGTCTGACTGCAGCGAGCTGTCATCACTTAGATTCAGTCTCTTCTTAAATCCTGTCTCTGAGCAGCACAGCGCCTTCAGGCAACAGGGCCTTGATGCGTCGATAGTGATCGATCGTCTTCCATTGATCTGTTCTGTTGTACACAAGGGCCGCCCTGATGGTCAAATGACCACGTGGCCGTTCAACTCAAGGAAATCAGACACAGTGCAGGCGGGTGGGGGTGAGGGACATCGGGTTGTTCCGTTCCGAATAGCATGCCACCATAATAATCATGCTAGTTTATTTTCCAGAATTTATCAGGGTTGGGCAAAATTCAAAATGTAAGAATTGGCACCCTGTTAATTCACAAGTTTTGAAAATTCACCATTTTATGGAAGCAAGAAAGTCATGTTTGGAACAACATGAGGGAGAGCAAACTTAAAATAAATGTACGGGTGAACTGTTCCTTTTGGACAGTTGTACAAGTTGGTAATTTATTTAAATTATTACTCACACACAGATGGATGGATGGATGGATGGATAGATAGATGATAGATAGATAGATAGATATGTGTGTTGATAGATAGATGGATAGATTAGACACACACACTATATATATATATTAATTTCAATATATTTTATGAATTATTTTTGACTGTTTCTCTAAGAAAATTGTATGTAGGTATTGTTTTAATTGTAAAATATATACATTATAATATTATATTATACAAGTACATAAAACATCAAATAAAAAATCTACATTAAAAACTAGATAAAATAGTATTAACAATACATTAAAAATACTAAACAATGATATTTAAGAAATGAACTCCACTTGCATAATTAAACAGTGACATGATATTGATGAAATTTTGAGTTTGAAATATTTGACGTATGTTATTTTAACACAAAGCAGACAATATGCTGTACATACTGTGCCATATGTAGTATGATGGTATTCCATACTGACTGTGTTATATGACCTATCTTCTCTCTCTCTCTCTCCATCTAAAACAGGGAAGGCTATGGAGGATCAGAGTACATATGAGGTACAACAGGAAGTCATCCATCCTGAAGACCGTAGCACTGCCCCACAATCCCACCAGAGCGAACATCAGCATGACCCCTCCCCCTCCTCGGACACACACTCTTCCTCCTCCTCAGCCGGGACGCACGGCTCCTCCTCTCCAGCCTGTGAGGATTCAGGAGCAGAGGAAGAGAGCATAAGTGTGGCAGCTTCCCACAGGGATGCCTCACCAGTGCCTGAGTCTCCAATGGACGCTGCTCAACCAGGCAACGTGGAGCTTCAGACTGACACGATCGGCCCCGGAGTGGTGATGGAGGGGACGGGGGACACTGTGGATACGGGGCAAGATGTGCCACACGCAGGGGAGATAGAAGAGGCTCTAAAGGTGGAGGAAGGAGGTGAAGATCAGGAACCTCAGGAACAGGATATTCCTGAAAATACACCAGAGTTGGAGCTAGAGGAGAATGGGAATGGGGTGGAGTTGTTGGATATTATTAATGTGTCTATGCTGGATGACATGGCCAAGCGCATACAGGTGGAAGAGGTGAGTAACAGATATGTTTCAGTCAATTTAGTTCAAATTCTTATGTGTTATTTTGTGCTTGCCATGGCTTTGTTTTGAGAATTGGGATAATTTCTAATCGGATTCGTTTTAAAAGTCCTTCTAATTTTGCCCTTGAGCACTTTGCTAAGCTTTTACTGACTCTTAGATTGGAAATAGTTTCACATTCTGCATATATTATGAATAGTATGCACATTTGGCAGAGATTTAAAGGTTAGGCATGCCCATCACCGAATGCAAAAATCAACCTATACAAATGGTTTGCTTGAAAACCAGTATATTAAATTTGGAAAGATTCCACATTTCTTTTAAAATGGTTTGTGACACTTCATTTCCTTTAAGATTTAGAAGCTGCTAGCATCACTATGCTATAGCATCCAGTGATGTCAGAGTGATGTCATCATTTTACATAGCATACCCTCATCACCTCTATAACATCGTAGTCAAGTTAAACAATACTATAATTTTGTTTTCTGAGACAGATTGACAGAGACAGAAACCTTGTCAATGCAATAATAATATCCTTATTTCAACCCCGGTAAATTGTGCATGATAGGAATAGAAAGGTAATCCTGTTTATATCGATTTCCACCTATAACTGTAGTCCCAATGCTAAAAGGACGATTTTGCAGCCAATAATATATGAACAATTACGTATTTTTGCACGAAAGAATTAAAATAAGTCTCTCTTTTAAACCCTCAAACTGAGGGAATCAAGATTATTATAATAATATAATATAATGCGAAAACAATTGTGTTCATCCACGCTGTGCCGTGCCGAGGCACAACCCACGTAAAGTTGATAATTCCGCGAATAACTGCAATTGCAGATTTCGAACAGAGATGGCGACACAGAGGAAAAACTGCGGACTGCAGCTTAAAATAATAACATTGTATGATTTTATTAAACATAAAAGAATCATAATAATAATAATAGATTCATATAAATAGAAAAAAATCACATTTATGTCTGATTATTTCTTTTTTTCTTTTTTTTTTATTGACTGTTGATCGACAGCATGTCACAGTAGAGCTTAAAGGGATAGTTCATTAAAATAACAATTCTGTCATCATTTACTCACCTTCAAGTTGTTCCAAACCTGTATGAATTTCTCTCTTCTGCTGAACACAAAAGAATTTTGATGTTGATGGACCCTATTGATGGACCCTATTGACTTCCATAGTATTTTTTTTTCCTACTATGGAAGTCTATGGATACCGTCAACTGTGTGTTTACCTACATTCTTTAAATATATTCTTTTGTGTTCAACAGAAGGAAGAAACTCATACAGGTTTGGAACAACTTGAGGGTGATTTAATTCCATTTTTGGGTGAACTATCCCTTTAAGGACTCGTCTGTGTGAACCACATGTAGAAGCATGATGTGTTTGTGATTATTGTATGTCCCTTGGTGTACTTGTTTTTTTTAAGCTCAGCGTGTTGTGTGTGATCTCAGCTCCCTGGCTTGGTAATTACCTCTTTCACTTTCTTGTAAGTTACTGTGGTGAGAAGGCGTCTGATAAGAACATGCATAATAGATATGGGAATCTTAGTTAGCAGTGATTGAGAGAGAGCTGGATGACCTGAAGGGTGACCTTTCCCCTGAATGCCAGAGCTGATGTCATAATGACACTTCCACCCTCAAAGAGACAATCAACAATAGAATCTGGACCACTGATCTCTGCCAGCACAATACAGGCTTTCATGAACCTGTGTCTTTAATGCTTTTGTGCTGTGTTCCCAAACATGTCATGCGCAGTCTCTTCTGGGTCTTGATTTCAGGAATTAGTGTTTAGTCTGGGCTCTCAAAAATACAGCAAAAAAAACAGTAATATTGTGAAATACCATTAGAATTTAAAAGTACTGTTTTCTATTTCCAGATATTTTCAAATATAATTTATTCCTATATTCAGCAAAGCATCATTACTCCAGTTTTCAGTGTTACATGATCCTTCAGAAATCATTATATGATGATGATTTGCTGCTTAAGAAACATTTCTTAATATTGTCAATGTTGAAAACAGTCATGCTGCTTGATATTTTGGTGAAGACCATCATGATACTTTTTTTCAGCATTTTTTCGGTAAAAGAACACTGACCCCATACGAGTATGTGATAGGTGCACAGTCTCAAATGAAATAAATTGGTTTGGACCCTGTCTATTTTCATTTTGTTTGAGAGCAGTTTTTGTGAATCATTATCTTATAGTGTATTATCAATTTAAAGGGCCAAAAATGTTCTGTTAAAAGTGGGGATGCACCTGTATGAAACTTTTGTCCAATAACGATAACCGATAATTCTTTATATTTGAAAGCCTATAAACGATATATTGGTCGATAAATGTAAATCCAAATTTTTATATAATTTTAACCTGATTACAAAAACAAAAGTCTCACCATTAAAAGCCATGTTCCAAGCACACAATTATAATGATTTATGTAGCCTATATGACAGACTTGCGCTGCACATGTTGCACTGAACCGTATTTTCCTTTTTTTTTGAAGTGATTCTAATCATATTTCAATCAATTGAAAACCATCATGGCGAACAGTGCGTCTAAAGTGTCTTTCTTCTGCGAAACACAAAAGATATTTTGAAGAATGTTAGGGCCCCATTGACTCATTATATTATGACCTTCAGCCTCCACCGTCAATTGTCAAGTTTTTCGGGCTAGTTAAAATGGTTTGACTTTTGAACATATATGTCCCTTTTCTTGGAAAGGTCGAAAACATACTGAGAAAACATGGTGTGAGTGTGAGTGCAAACCCAATTGTGCTCAGTAGGACCAAATTTTGATGCTTTTTAACCAGACAGAACTTGCTGACCTGGAAAACTAAATCAAAACGTGTTTGTATTATAACGTGCAATATTCAAATAAAACATTAGTTATTGGTGTATTTGTAGTAGACTTGATGTCCTGGATACACACAGCACCGACAGAATGGGATAAGCCGTCTTCTCCCTAGCACAATTAGGATCTGTTTAGAAATTCATCATGCATGTTGTATTGCAGAATCACGTTCATTAGGGAGCACCATCCAAAACAACTAACAGACACTATCATTCAAAAGTTTGGGGTCTGAGAATTTGTAATTTTTTTTTATTATGTTTTTGAAAGAAGTCTCATATGCTCAAGGCTGCATTTATTTGATCTAAAATACAATAAAAACAGTAATATTGTGAAATATCATTATTACAATTTAAAAATATATATTGTTTAATGTATCATCAAATGTAATTTATTCCTGTGATGGCAAAGCTGAATTTTCAGCATCATTACTCCAGTCTTCAGTGTCACATGATCCTTCAGAAATCATTCGTTGAAAACAGTTGTGCTGCTTAATATTTTTCTGGAAAACAACATTATACAATTTTTCAGGATTCTTTAATGAATAGAAAGTGAAAAGAACAAAAATGACACTTACACCGATTACTGTCCCTTTTGATCAATTTAATGCATCCTTCCCGAATAAAATAATGAATTAAAACCAACTTACTGCCTCCACAATCAGTGTCGGTATCTACAGAGCAGGATGACCTATGAATCCTCATAAATTATAAAATGAAGTTTATTTATGCCTAATGTGACGTAAACAAAATTGCTAAAATTGAGCAAACTCTTTGTTTTTACACTATTTCATTGAATTTTTTTTCTTTGAAAACCATGCTTATGTTCTATTCATTATCCATCAATGCCCGTAATCTCAAAATGCCAAATTTAGCAGATTGATCAGCCTTACAGATATCAGTCTACCTCTAGTTAACCAGATCATTTGGGGGATCAGTCTGTCGACGGAATAAATTAGATATCTGTTTATTCTTTCTTTAATTTCAAGTATATCTGTTTAATCATTAATTAATGACACAGCATCCTGGAAGTGGATTTATTCTGACGGTCTACTGCTGAGTCGATGTTATTTAGATGTGTACAGAATGTCTTTCAGGTCTGGTCAGTGATGGAGTGATATGTGGCTAATTATGCTGAATGACCAGAGAGAGAGAGAGCAAACATTACCTGCTGATTTATGTCCACACTCATCAAACGTGATGTTTTCCTGTATAAGAGGGCCATCTGAGTACATTTGAGGAGTTGAAACTGATTTTTTATTTGCGATGATAAGCATGTGTTATTGTTGACCGCTCACTGTTAATGGCCCACTTGATTGGCTCAGAATGTGTGTTTTGAAGTCTAATTACTCAAAGGATTAATTCATCTGTTTTTTGTTTGTTTGTCCTATTCGTCACGCTGCTCATGTGCTTTTCTACTTCATAAAAATACGTTGTTTTATGAAAGCCTAAAAACAAAACCGAGTTGTATGCAGTAGTGAAGTGAACTGTTTTGCTGTTTGGCTTTTTTTAGGAACACATGGGCGCTTGTATTCCTCAAATAACATTAAGGATCAATCAGCCTACTTCAGCAACTTCTACTTCAGGTTATATAGTCATTGTATGAAAGCTTTAACTAAAACTCTGATTCGAGAGGATGTGAATGGGTGATTTGAGACACACTGCTTCATGTACCTAACAACACTCTTAACCAAGGTAAAACACATCTCATTTACTCATTTTGGACATAGAGGTACAGTGAGCAAGGTCTGTTCTTCTTTTAAACTCGTTGTGGAATTTAGTCATTTTATGGGCGCCTCTTTTTTGTTTTTTTATAGATCTTTTATTGGATCTTTGGCTTTAGTCTCAAATGACAAATGCAGTGGCTGTTGTGGAGCAAAAATAGAGAGCTATAATTGCGGTGCTTGAAACAGTTGTTTTCATTGAGACAGATCTTGCCAAATATGGAAGCTCTCTGGGTGAAATGTGTTGACACCAAGGTTTTTTAGTGAAAAACAATCCTGAGTTACTCTTGTTTAAATGAGTCTTAATTCAATAAGAGCACAAACTAATGGTATCGGCGTAGTTATTCCTCTCAATTAAATTAACTTCAATGTTTTTTCCCCCCTTTATTACTTAATTTAGTGCAATAATGCTGTTATATCTTTTATTTTTATATTTGCAGTTTTTAATTTAGTTTAAGGTTTAGTCAATTTGTTATATGCTTTTATCAGTGGTATTTTTTTTTTTTTGATATTTCTGTTTAGCTTTAATTTCATTTTATTTCAGTTTTAACAATTTTTTACTTAAACTTTTATTTCAGTTACTTGCCAAGGCAACATTTCGTATTCTTTATTTCAATTAAACAAAAACTTAAAAAAAAAAAGGTTTAGTTTAAGGTAACAACTGCTATACAGCCACACACACGCACTCATGTCATCATTAATATTCAGATTTATTCATGGTATTATTGATTGGCCAGAGGGCAGCACTTTAGATTGTCCACTCATTCTCAGTGCTCATTGGTCTTTAGTAGTTTGACCTCTCCATGACCTTTTCCATTCCTCAGTGGCTTGTGATGTAACATAAATGACTCCTGTTTCCTGACCATCTCCAATACTTTTATTCTCATGTACATCATTTATGAGGTGGGGGTAAAGGTAAGCCTAATTCAGATGAAGTGCTGGGGAAATGGATTTCAGCTCTCTGATGCATATTAAAGGACATGGATTATTAAACATACTTGTTTGAGATAATACAGATTTATTATGAGCTATTTTGTGTATATAGTCTTGTTAGAGACAGGTTAAATTATTTTTGTTTCTAGATGCTGCCTGGATAGGGAGAAAAATAATATATATATATATATATATATATATATATAATTTATATTTATATATTTAAATATATATATATATATATACACACATTTTTTAAAGCATCCTGCATTTAACATTCTATATATTTTTTTTCCTTCACATTTAGCAAAAAAAAATAAAATAAAAATATGCCAAATTTACCTAAATAAATTCTCTTTTGTGTACATTTTGATTACCGGTAACATTAAAATAAAAATGTAATCCTGACTATAAATAGAAATATTCTAGACTTGTATGTAGATTAAGTATTTATACTTATTTGAGTATTTATATAACATTTAGGGAACAATGAATGTATATAAATTCAAAAACATTTTGTAAAGTGCTTATTTTATGTAAATCCACCGAAATATTTCTTGTTAAATCTGACAAAATAGATAACATTATATTATCTAACGTTATATTTTACATTCTACACCTCATATTCAGGCAGTCAAAGACCAAAACCAGCTTGTTTCTTTTACACAAAAAGGCAATAAAATCGTACATCTCAAGTGTTCCATTGTTTGTAACACACTTTATTTGATACATTTTAAGCCCTCAGCTCATAGTGACATCTAGTGGGTAAAGTATGATAGTGATAGGGTAGATCCTCGTTCCAAGCCTTTGAGCACAGCAATCTTTCTCAATAACCTGTCTTCTGTGTTTCAGATCGCTCCAGCTGCTGGTCTTGTGTCGATCTTAAAGAGAAGAGTGTCTCTGGAAGGAGCCAACAGCTCTACCCCCGCTGCCTCTAAACCCGTCCCCAAAAGAAAGGTCCGTTTCCGAGAACCTGACGAAGGCCTCGACCACGGTAAGAACCAGTACTGTTTTCTGAAATCTCATTTTTGCAGTATTCACATTGATCATGTTCTGATTCTCTATTGATTTGCCTGATATGCAGATGAGGTGGGCGGAGACTCCTGGCTCCTCCTCCTCTTGTTGTGCTTGGCTACCGTGGTGATCAGTGTGGGCGGGACTGCGCTCTACTGCACTTTCGGAGACGCCCAATCCAGTGTGTGCACAGACTTTTCCCATAACATGGACTTCTACATCGGACGGGTGCAGAGGGGAATGGACGAGCTCAAACACTGGCTGTCCCCGAGCTCATAGCAGGACGACGAGTCATTTTCTGCCTCCGTTTCTTCTTCTCGGTAGCCTCCGTGATCTTCGATGCTGAGAAATCCTCATAAATAGGCCTTTGCTGGGTCACACTGACACAGGAGCCCGTCTGTAAGGTCCTAAAGGGGACGTCCGGCCCCTGGAAGACACCGGAAACCACTTTGGCCAGTTTTCGACTCAAGTAGCCCACTGTTTACTGCCATCAACTGAACCTCATACGAAGAGACTTCTTTTTTTTTAAAGTCTTAAATCTCAAATCTTAATATTTGGTTGTCTTATATTCGTTCAAAAAGTTGAATGACCACCGTAGTACTGAAGATATAATAATGGACATATCCATCTGTAGCCTGGACGTAGCATTCTCCTGTGGTGGGCTTGGATGGTCTTGTTTATAAAAATGTTTATAGGGACAGGAAAGCAATACATGTATATTGAGGAATTATAGATGCTGTATATAGATACAGTCAAATCACAGTAACTATAGTTTTCCTTTAATTAGTATAGAAAAGCAAAGAGAGTTGTCTGGCAGATTTGGCAATATTTTTATCATTATTAACACAACATTGATATTAATTATTTAATTTAAATGTATTATTAATTAATAATTGATATATCTTCTTTAATTCAGTCTGATACTTGAAACTAGCAGTGTCAAACAAACCCTCAGACTGAATTTACTTTGCTTTTTTTTATATATATTATTACTAAATTGCTTGAATTCATACTTCTTTTATTCAGTTAGATGGCAGATAATTTTTTATCTTCTTCATTTGTAATACAAGAGTCCACACTAGAGCTGCACGATTCTGGATAAACTGGAAATCACTTTTTTTTTTTTTTTTTTAAATAGAAATTGTTATTCTCCTACGATTCTGAAAATACAGCTAAAGGTTCTGACAAAATGTCAATTGATGTTATCTATTTAAAAATATATTTGTAAATGTAATTTTTTTTTTAAATCAGCTTGAATGAATGATTCACTCAAAGACTTCACTGATTTCATTACAGAATGAATCAGCATTTTTTTAACAAATCTCTTGAATGAATGATTCATTGACTCACTCATAAAGACTGCACTTGTTTCATTATTGGATGAATCAACGTTTTTGACCAAATCTCTTGAATGAATGATTCAGTGACTCACTCATAAAGATTCATTGTTGGATGAATCAGCGTTTTTGAACGAATCTCTTGAATGAATGATTCATTGACTCCCTCATAAAGACCACTTGTTTGGATGAATCAGCATTTTTAATGAATCTGTTGAAAGAGTGGTCCATTAATTCAAGAGATTGTTATATAGACATATTTATTTATAAATAAATGTGTGTATATATATATATATATATATATATATATATATATATATAAATTTATATATATATATATATATATATAAATTTATAGTCATTTAAGAATAAGATTGCTTGGGTGTTTGAGTCGAGATCGCGGTCTTTTAACGATTGATCGTGCAGCTCTAGTCCACACATAAACTTTTTTTACTAGTTATTTTTTCTTTTTAAAGTCGACATGAAGCAAAAGTTGTGAAAGCCACATTGTGATGTATATCAGGGGAAGCTTCTTCTTCTTCTTCTTCGGGGCTTGATTTTGTTTATTGGGAACTGATTTGATCCTTGGATCTGTGTGGTTTGCTATTGGTTGATCTCATGTGAGTGACAGGTTGCCCCGCCCTCTGGTCAGTTAACGCATCATCGGAGAAGAGAAGAGATGTCACTGAAAGAGGGAGGGGAAGTTATTTTGATTAAAGATTATGAGGGCACATGACTTAAAAAAAATAATGTGCACTGATAAATCATTTATAATGAATACTGCAAAATTCTATAAAACAACAAACAACAATTGTCATTTTGATTTCATGGTGACTTTAAAAATAGCCAAATCTAAATATTTCATTTTCCCCATAGAATTAATAACAGTGGTATCTAGGATTTGTTTTCCCCTAAACTAGGCCTCCAGTAAATGACTGTATTTACCGATGGAAAGTTTTTATGATGAAATTGGTACTAGAACAAGAATGTCATAAGATTTGAATATCATTTGCTCAGGCATGTCTATTGTTAATAATCTTAACAGTTATTGTAATCATGGTATTCAAATACTTAGTTTTTGTTCATTCATGTTTATTCTTATTTGGTTATTGTCATAAGTGCATCTTGTGTTTATTCTACCGAATCTGTGTCTTGAACATTGTCCTTTTGAGGCACAGTCTTACTATGGTAATGTCTGCAGTTAATGAAGTAAAAGTAATGTGTAGTTTGCTGTGCTCTGCTCAAGTGCGTGAAAGTACTTGGCGGGAACTGTACAACTTTATTTTGTGTTGTCTGGTTTTCTTTTGTATTTGTGTGTTGTCTGGCTGGTTCAGATGACCATTGAATGTCTTTATTGTGTGAGTTTTCAGTATTTATTTACAACAAAACAAAGTCTTTTAGAATCACACGTTCTGGTGCATGCACTCTCTTAATACTGTCTGTACAGAGACCATTGGAAACTATATTTGTTTATCTTCATTTTGATTTTGTGTATATATCATGTGATGATTGCTGTATTTCCTAATTGTATGGTTCAAATCTGTTTAGTTATTGTCTTTGGAGAAAATTTTAAAGGAAAATGCAATGAGATGTCTTCGACCAAAAATACATGGTGAATAAATCTTATTGTTGGGACTGATGTGTCTTTGTATTATTTGAATGAAGTTTAAACGTTTTTAAAGTCGTATTATGCATTAATCATTCAAATCAAGATGAAATTAAAAGGAACAATCCTTAATGCACATTCCTGGTCTTTATTGTGCACGATTCATGAGTGCACATTATTCAACAAAAAAAAAATCATAATTTATTGCAATACAATAACTTGCTCCATTTCTGAAATGACTGTTTTTCAGCTTACATCATCAAGCTCTCTCCTCCAACCACTTATAATAAGAGATGACGTTTCACAATTCAGTCAATTCCAGATCAATACAATTACTATAGTAATTTTCTCATTGGATATCCTGGGAAAATGTCACATGGCAGAAGAAAATGGGTTTCCGAATAATAGTTTTATTATGCTGACTAAAATTATCTATCTGCATGCCAAAGTTTGCAAGTAATTTATGTAAAAATGAACAATAAAAAATAGTAGATATGTTCATTTAAATGTATTGCTTGCGTATTAATTATATATTTCATTCATATTAATATGTAAAAAAAAAAATATACATTTAAAAATGCACTAATATGTAAAAAAAAAAAAAAAAGTCGTTGTGAACACATTACAGAAAACATAAATATTATACTATAATCCTGAGAATCTTCTTATCCATAACCAGTTCCGCCCACAATCCGAGTAGACCAATCAGAAACGAGGAGATATGACGTATTGCACGGTTGTGTTCTAGAAGTTTGTATGCGTATCATCGACGCAGTTCATATTCGGTCAATACAAAGTATCTTTGCTCGATTTATGCGGGGTTTTTTTTGTGGTCACAACACCTTATGCATCCTTATGCATAATTATTTAAGGCAATCTCGGCTGGGTATCCATCTTCCTCCCTGATTTGATCGATTATTTCAGAGGGTGCGCAAACAGAGCTGCGCATTGATGATCCTCTTCATTGAACTTCATGTTGAAGGCTGACGCCTACGGAAGTAGCTCCAGTCTCCCAACTGTCAAGCGCTGGTCCCACTCTGTCTCTTCCAGTATCCCAGTCTGTCTCTTCCAGCTATGGCGGCGTTCAGCACCTCATCCAGCAGACCCTACCACATCATCATCTTCGGCGCTTCGGGTTTCACGGGACAGTTCGTGGTGGAGGAGGTGGCCCGCACCGCATCCGAGGGTCCCAAGGGGAGTTTGAAATGGGCCGTAGCCGGCAGGAACAGAGCCAAGCTGGAGAAAGTTGTTGAGCAGGCCGCTGGAGTTCTCGGTGGGTGAAGCAAACTCTGTATTTGATTGAATTTAGTGAACCTATAAAACTGCAATATGCTTGAACCCTAGAAATCATCAGGTCTTCAAAAATGCCATAGTGCTTAGTGTTACAATAATTTATAACTCTGTAAAATCATAATGAATAGGAATCTTTCTAACTGTTTCAGAAACTTTTTTTGTCTGGTTTCATTTATTGTTGCATGACCTGTACTGTAGGAACAGCTAAGTTGCTATAAAATCTAGGGACTATGGTATTTTAGCCAAAACTTTGGTTATCATGGTAATTTTTCCAATAGATGTTGCAAGAGTCAAAGAAAGGCTAATTGTCTATTTTATTTATTTATTTTGAGCTGTGTATGCATTGATTTGTATTAATTTTACATTTAACCAAAACTAGTTCTAATAATACTAGTAGGCCTACTAAAACTAAATAAATAAATGGGTAATTAAAAAAAAAAAAACTCCTTTACAAAACGATTGCAATGAGAAAAGCACCAAAAATAGCTACAATTAAAATAACTGAAATATAATATAATATAAAATACTATAATAGCATATAAATAATTCTATTAGAAAATTCTGTTGTTTTTTTTTTTTTTTTTTTTTTTACCCCAGAGATATTTACTCGTGTTTTGCATCTTTTTAAAAAATGTACAGGATTGTTGAGCAGATTGAGTTAGCGAGAATATCTGCAGTAACAAATTCTGCATCTAAATTCTGTTATCCATTTAGTAGAAGTACAAGAGGAAACATTCTAGACTGTAAGCGCAGCAAACTTGGCAAAGATGTCAAAGTGTTGCAATGACACAACTAGATTGGATTGGACTTGACTTTGACCCACATCGTGGCATTCGCCAGCCAGTGAACTGATTTTATTAAGTGATACTTTTCTGCTTTGACAAATAAATTCCTTCTTGTTTAGCTTGGATAATATACATGCATTTTGTTGGACAATAGGGTCTTTGGTCATGGTGGCCTTTTGGGATGGTTTAATTAATCCTGAACAGCTGATGGAAAATTATATTCCAATGACATATTCCATGGCTTTAATCATGTAGCTTTGAATGGATTGGCTCAAACAGAACAATTGCTCAGAGTTATATTTAGATTTCACGAAGAATGAATGTAGGCTGACCGGACACTGAATAACGACACGGCTATTAAGGATTTTTTATGGTCTAAGTAACTTTACAAACTGAATTATATAGGCTATGATACTGAATTTATCCTAGGCTGTTTTGCATCTATACAGTACATTATATCATAAACATGAATAATTTATTGTCAATTTGCATTAAATATGACATATAACCCAGCACTCTTTGCATAATTACAGTGTATGTCATGTTTAAAATGTTTGTTCTCAGGTAAGCCGGAGTTGAAGTCTGAGGTAGATGTGCTCATCGCGGATGTCAGCGATGCCGACTCATTGGCTGCCATGTGCAAACAGGGAGTCATTGTGCTCAGCTGTGTGGGGCCTGTAAGTACGCCGACTGTAGGACACAGAATCACTTCTCTATGGGCAGCAGCATTATATATGATTGGGCGTCAAACATCGAGCTATTGATAAATTACTAATTGAATTTTAAGGGCCTCATGTTTACCCAGATTGCTTCATCAGACTGATAACTGATAACTCACCCATAGTGAGACGAGACTATATGCGGTTTTGCAATACCGTCCTTTAAAAAGAGATAAATACGTTTGTACATTGAACCTCAGATGATCTCCCTCAGTTTTCTTTAAATACATTTGTCTAAAAATAGTAAGGATGTCTAAAAGAGTAAGGATTGTTTTATTTTGTTTTCTCAGATATTTTTAGACAATAGTATATATATTGTATAAAATAAATGTTCATTTACACTACCATTCAAAAGTTTGGTGTCTGTAAGTCTCTTATGCTCACAAAGCCTACATCTATTTGATAAAAAAAAATTAAAACTCTAATATTGTGAAATATTATTACAATTTAAAATAATGCTTTTCTATTTTAATAATCTTTAAAATATAATTTATTCATCTGATGCAAAACTGAATTTTCAGCATCATTTCTCCAGTCTTCAGTGTCACATGATCCTTCCGAAATCATTCTAATATTTTTCTAATAATTCAACGGCCCGTCGTCAATTATTTCTTAAATATTTATACTGTGTACATATTGTTGTATTTTATTTGTATATATACTGTATATATACACTGATATTTACTCATAAGTTTTTTTTAATGTTTTTCTACAGTATCGATTTTTTGGTGAACCTGTGGTCAAAACGTGCGTGGAGAACGGAGCACACTGCATTGATATCTCCGGAGAACCACAGGTGCTTTTCCTGACACTTTGTTCCTATTTCATTATCACATTTACAATAAATCCATAAACTTGCTTTGATCATAACAATATTAAGGTCAAGCATTCACAACCCGTTTTACTTCCATAATGTGACGTATTCCTCAATGAAACATAATGAGAATAAGATGGTTTGATGGCTTCAGCTGAAAAAGTAATTTTGCTTCAGAGGTGAAGCAAGTTATTTTGATGAAAGATTATAGAGACATATTTTTGGTAATACCATCATGAATTGTAAGACCAAGGATGGGTATCAAGCAAAATGGGTCTATTTTGATTTCATGTTGACTGAAACAACATTTTGCTTTGAGTGCAATCTCAAAATTCAGAGATCTGTGTATGTTGTATTTTCTGTAGTTCCTGGAGAGTATGCAGCTAAACTACCATGGCCAGGCTGCTGAAAAGGGCGTCTACGTTGTGGGAAGCTGTGGTTTTGACTCCATTCCTGCAGACATGGGCGTCATTTACACCAGGGACCAGTTTAAAGGTATGTAATTATTGCATCATATTATGTTAAATTATATTATATTAAACTATAACAAATTATATAATATTTTTAAATACTTATATCTTTTAGTAATATTAATATGCTGTTGTTTTCATTACCAGGGACAATAACTGCTATTGAGAGCTTTTTGACTGCAAATGCAGGGCTTGAGGTTGGTGCTCATAAATTTTAATCTTAAAAAATATTAAGTATTAAAGTTGTGAACATTGGAATAGTCTGTTTTTTTAAAAGGCCATTGTGTTTAAGTCTCAGCTGACCCACATTCTCGTGTGTCCGTAGGGAGGCAGCATCCATGATGGCACCTGGCAGTCGGCCATCTATGGCTTAGCTGACGGCCCCAAGTTGCGAAGCCTCAGGAAGAAGTTTAGTCACAAGCCTCTTCCTGTGGTGGGGGCAAAAATTAAAAGGAGGTGTGTACAACAACAAGCAATCCCAGACAGCAACATAGTGTCGGCCCAGTTCCGGCCCACATCTGGTACACGTGGAATCCACACGTACCTGATGTGGATTCCACGTGTACCAGATGTGGGCCGGATCTGGGCCGACACTATGTTGCTGTCTGGGCCTGCTTGATCGTAATTTATATTATTTTCTACCCTCTCTCTCTCTGACCTTTACAATGAAACAGCCTGTTTATGTCACTGTACCTTTAAGACCTCTGTATGTGCTCTACCGTTCAAAAGTTTGGGATTGGTACGAAGTAGCTTTTGCTCATTGCTCTCCAAGGCTGCATTTGTTTGATCAAAAATACAGTTAAAACAGTAATACTGTAAAATAGTGAAATATTACTATTTAAAATAACCGTCTTCTATTTTAATATGGTTTAAAATGTCATTTATTCCTGTGATGAGGAACAGCAGCCATTACTCCAGTCTTCAGTGTCACATGATCTTCAGTGTCATGATGATGTGGAAAACACAGTTGTGCTGCTTAATATTTATGTGAAAACCATTTTATCTATATATATATATATATATATATATATATATATAATTTGTTTTTCAGGATTTAGTTGAAATAGAATTTTTTTGTTACATTATAAATGTATTTACTGAAACTTTTGGTCGATTTAATGCATCCTTTTCTGAATAAAACCTATTAATAAAAAAACTTCTTACTGACCCCAAATTTTTTAATCGTAGTGTAAATGACCTGTTTATGATTGGCCTGTTATGGGTGAGTATCAGCACAATGTCGTTCATCAAACGGACACAAATGTGTCTGTTATCAACAAAAACAGAATTTCTATCTCTACAGGGGTGCGCTGTTTTATAGTAATGAGGTACAGCAATATGCACTTCCCTTCATGGGTTCTGACCCATCAGTGGTGAAAAGGACCCAGCGCTACTTACATGAAGAACTCAATGAGTCACCGGTAAGTTATAAAACTATTAAATATTGTTTTCATTCATTGAAATAAAGCTGAAATAAATAAATGGACAATTGAACAAAATGACTGCAACAAGATTAAAGCAGTAATTCACAAATTCCTATAGTCAGTTTAATTTAAAATGACCTGCATTGCAAAAAATATTACAAGTTTTGTTTGTACCGACTTATTTTTTTACAGGTTCAGTATGGGGCGTATGTTGGTGTCGGCGGTATTTCCAACATTTTTAAGCTTGTCTTCGCTGGAATGATGTTCTGGTTCCTTGTAAAGTTCAGCTTTGGCAGAAATCTCCTTATTAAGGTAAACCATCATTTTGTGAAAGCCATATATTGCTGAAATATTGCATTTCATTTGATGACTACATTGCAGATCTTGTGTTTTCTAATCAATTATATACTTTGTCTGCAGTTTCCAGAGTTTTTCTCATTTGGCTACTTCTCCAAAGATGGTCCAACTAGAAAACAGGTTTTATACCCATATCTTAATCTAGTCTGTCAGCTATAATCTTTAAGATTACATGGACGGCTTCATTTAAATGTGATGTCTGCAGATGGAGGGCTCCTCTTTCCGTTTCGTCTTTTTTGGAGAGGGTTACACTGAAGATCAGGACCTCACCGAGGGCAAACCCAACGGCAAGATCCGCACTGTGGTCAAAGGACCAGGTATGCATATTAGCATCAGCCTCATGTTAGTGTACATGAAAAGCTGCATCTGTATATTTCTCATATCCCTTTTTCCAGAGGCAGGATATGTCACCACACCAATCGCTATGGTTCAAGCGGCCATTACCATGTTGAATGAATCAGATTCTCTTCCAAAAACGTGGGTTCTGCCAACTTATCCAGTCATATATCCTCAAAACTTAACCTAAATAAGCAGTTGGTATCATTAAGTGTCACGTCCTGAATGTATGTTATTGGGTTTACTCTCCACAGTGGCGGCGTGTACACTCCAGGAGCGACGTTCGCCAAGACCACCCTCATCGACCGCCTCAACAAACACGGCATTCAGTTCTCCGTCCTTTAAGTCCCTTCTTCCGAAGCACCTATTCATTTTCTTGCTTGAGCGTTGAGAAATGTTGTTGCTATTTGAAGCTTCCTCGGCTATCTTGCAGTTTTCCGGTTTAGTGTCCTGGCTTGCAAACAGTAGACTGGGATGAGTTTACTAGCATGCACTCTGCTCAAATGGCTGTGAAATTTGAACTACAAGTGCGGCACAAATCCCTCCATTTTATCACACGTGTTTCGGTTTGGAATTTGAATTTTGTTCCAATGTTTTTTTTTTATCACTAACAGAAATGCTCATTCTCACAGATGACCGACATCTCTGAAAACATATTTAAAGCACACCCAGAGTTGAAAGAAAATATAGAGAAAGTTTTTGTTATATTGTCATGAGTTGTTATATTTGTGAATCCTATTACTAGAACAGGACAGTTAAACTAATACAAGAAATGAGAGAAAATGTTTTAGAGACCAATGAATCTGTGAGTGTCTGAAAGATTGCAGAATGCTGTTCTGGCTTGTTTCTAACTAAATAAAGTACATATCAAATCGTATTTTGGGGTGAAAGTATTTAAGAGCTGTGTCTATGTATTTGAAAAGTAGTACACGCTTATGTAATAGTCAATACGGTGCGTTTTGACAAATGGAGAGTATTCCAGTACACAATTTTCACACAGTGCGTAAAGTGCATTCTGCATTTAGCTGTTTAAAAATAGTAGGTAGTGCCCCATTCAAAATGCACTCTTAAGACATAATCAGAGCATGAATCATTAAAATTGCAAGCAAATATGTCTAGCACTTCTTCAACCCTTTAATCAACAAGAATTAGTCTTATAAATGAACAATTTTATGCAGAATAATTGATTATAATAGGTGTATCAGGACCAAATCCCAGACTTTTCTCTCTTTCGACGTACAATAGCAGCCACATCTTGTTTCAGAGTGGTTACACACTGTTCCAGCTGTTCAGAAAAGTCCTTCAGAAGATACGTATGCTCATCAACAAACAGTCTAAAACCCAACAGGTCTGCTTCTTCCTATGGAGACACAAACGCACAATGTATCAATGCTCTCAACCTTACAGTTACAGCTTGTACACCCCAAAAGACTTTGCTGGTATCTGCATAAATTCTTTCGCATTAATGATTGTGTCAAACATCTGACCAGCAGAGGCTGACTGGCATAATTACACTGGGTCTGTGTCTGCGCAGCCGCTGAAGTTGCCCCCTAACAGAGGTCATGCTGTGGTAGAACACTTTTAAGGCTTTGGCAAATTCAGCATCACAGCTGGGCCTCAGACTGCCTCTTCGTTCCTGCCGACCGCGGTTATTCTCCACACCTGCGGCAGAAATGTGGGAGAATAACAGTGTTATAAATTGAGCAGGAGGCAGTATGGTGACCCACTTGTAGAAAAGCTGAGCTGTTGTGTGAATACATTTGTGTTCTTGCATGTTCCATGCTTGTTATGTATGGGATAATGTACATCCAGCCGGTTGTTATCTCAGAATAAACCCCCGACAGGGTGATGAGGACCCTGACGAAAAGCGGATGGGTCTTGCATCAGCCTGAAGGGGGTTTATTCTGAGATAACAACCGGCTGGATGTACATTATCCCGCTTATTACACGGCTACTTGTCACACAAGTAAATAATTAGACACGAAATATTGATCTGAGTTGAAATATTTTATTAGGTCTTTAAACGCAAAGCTTCCGCGGAGAGAGCAGTTGCTATCGCGGCAAGTTCAAACTAGACGGACATTTAGGAGATACGGTATACAGTCATACCACTTATTACACAGCATTTCGCCACATAAATAATTATGGATATAAGAGATATTGATTTCAGATTAAACCGTTTTAAAATGTTACCTGTTTTTATCTTATAATCCAACAGTGTACAAAACAATAGTCACAAAATGGCAACAGCTGCGTTTGTATGAAACAAGAGAGAGCGAGTCCACGATACTGGATGGCATAATTCAATAAGTGTACACAAAATATTGATTTGACTGAGTTTTAATATTTTATTAGCTCACCAAATGCAAAACTTCCACGAAGGAAAAACGTTCCTTGCAAGCGTATAGCGCTGCTGACTTCAGTAACCCGAATGAGCCTGCGTTATCGGTTTTCAGCGGTTGTTATCTGGGAATAACATACCGCTGGATGGCGCGATTGACCAATCAGAATCAACTATTCCACAGAGCCGTGTAATAATGTAGGATAATTGCAAGAGGTATTGGGTTCAGATCCCGGACGAGCCCCCAATTTGTGTTACACCCTGACCAAGGTTCTACAATATCTTGACAGTAATGTACTAGATGACTTATCAAAAGTACTCACCATTTCTGGCTGAGTTGAGTTGCTCTCTCAGACAGCTGTTTTCTTTCCTCAGTGCCGCATTAACATTTCTCAGCTGTTCCATATCTTGATGAAGGGCTCGGAGAGATGGGCTGAGGTCAGAGCCTCTGGTTTCTGCAGTCTAAACAAACATGAAAACACATCCATAAAATAATTCCGTTTCAGGGAATCCCAGAAATAACCCTGGCCTGGCTCATGCAAGACATTTAAACAATGCACATTTATTTGAAACATACACATGGTCAGTTTATTTAAGGAATATACCGGGTGTTCTGATGCACTGATCTTGTCAATAATGATGTTGTCCTCTTGAGTCATCTTCACCCCATCCATACAGGAGACTAACTCAGAGCATCCTTCTACAAACAGAAACATGTTTATTGGAGAAGTTCAAGAATGCCTCAAAGGCAAATGGTTCAGTTTGATTCTTGTTCCAGTTTCTACAGCGTCTTTGTATTTTCACTTATCAAATGACTTTATTGTCAATCTTAACTCTTTTAAAAAACGTTGCCATTGCCAGCCACCACAAGCGTTTTTTTATAATTTTCACTTTTTTTATATATATATTCTAGCTTCATGCATTCTTTTTTTTTTTTTTTTATCAACACTTGAATGTGGGTAAGTTTAATTAAAGCAGCACTAGGTTACTTTTCAACCTTCATAATATATTTCCAAGTCTCTTGTGATGGTACATCGACTTACAATAGGTTGAATGACACGTCTGCCATAGCCTGACGGGGTCTGTAGCGTTTTTAATCGTACTTTTAAACTTCGGGTTTCGAGTAGTAACCGGCGAACAAAGAGAACTACAAAATTCGACTGCTTTACGGCATATACGTCACTTCCACCACCACCCCCACTTCCTTAAAATCGGACGTGCGAGCCAAATGTTATAGTCATGGCCGAAGCAGCACAGAAAAACAAGAAAGCAAAGGTTTTATCGGAGCAAAGCAAAAAGAGAAAAAGAGAAAGTGATCGCGTTAAAGGCAGAACGAGGATCAACATTGGAGGGGGGGTGCCCGACCGATGCGGACTTGGCAAAAAAAAAAAAAAATCAAATGAAAGCCTGTGTCTAAATGGCGTGCACAATTTTGGTAGGGGCTACATTCTTGCAAGTAAATATATAAGATGTACAAAATCATATTTTAGGATACCTAACATGTCTGTGATATTTGTTTATTTGTCTTGCCTCAAGCTATAATGCAAATCGATTTGTAAAATTTGCAGATTCATTTATGGTAGCTTGATATTATAATATTGACGATATATGGTTATTATCAACCACTCAAACATTGCATTGAAGTATCATATAGATTCAGTAAAACGGTAACCAATAGACTAGGCTACTATAATGACGCTGGCTTGTAAACGTGATCATCGCGATCATTTGTCGTTAGAAAAAAAATAAAACCCATGAAATTATATTCATATGACATGCTGAAATATATGCCACTGTACCTGGGATGAAGACATTTCACACGCGACGCAAGCAGAACACCTGCATGTGACCTCCTCCTACAGTGTTCAGGGCTATCGTGGTTGTCAACAAATGCACGTGCATATAGGATGACAGAATTTACGACAGTAGTAGAGGTCTAGAGGACAATACTGTTTCCCAACTGTAGGGGGACCCCACCCCGAGAGCAAAAGTTCCCTGGTGTTACTTTAAAAAACAGCAACATTTTGAGCAAAAGAAAATGAGAAAACATAGGGAGTAGATCAAGTCCATCAACACCCCTAATGCTTGCACATTCCTATAGCTAGTTCTGGGTCAACATTTCATTCAGTCATATTAGGCAGTTTTGATTATTTGATTTAATCTTGATGATCGCGTTATTTTACATAAGCATATGATTACATATGATATCGCTTGTTTCTGCATCTTCCTCGCTAGTGTTTTGATCAGGAGATGAAGTACTCTTTCAGAAGATGAGTAATAGCGCCCCCTACCGTAGAACAGAGAAAACACGGAAAGCCGGAAAATTCCGTCCAAGGTTGGGAAGTTTGGGTGGGAAGTTTGGGGTCAGAAAAGATTTTGCTTTAAAAGAAACGAAAACTCATATTAAGCAATGAAGCAGCACAAATAAGAAACCTTTTTTTTAGCACCAAACTAACATATTAGAATGATTTCTAAGTGATCATGTGACACTGAAGACTGGAGTAATGATGCTGAATATTCAGAATAAATTATATTTTAAAATATATTAAAATAAAAAAAGTTATTTAAAACTGATAATATTTCACAAAATTACTTTTATTGTATTTTTGGAGAGAATAAGAGACTTATTTCAAAAACATTAAAGGTGGGGTATGTGATTTTCTTTTTTGACCATTTTTTCAAAATCACTTGAAATCCTATTCCTAACCCACTTACAGCCACTGAGTTAGAAGCACTGAAATGAAAATTAAGCAATTTAATCATCTGTGGAACGGGCAGGACTCGAAAAACTCCAGCCAATCATTTCCAAGACCACCTGGAATCATTGGGCATAAGTGCGTCAATCAACTGTCGTACCATACCCCCATCCCCCTCGTGCGCGTGTCCCCTTCGTGCGCATACTCAAAGCTCATGACCCAGTCACAGTAAGTGCAAGTCGCCCCGGTACAGAGAGAGAGAGAGAGTAAGTGCATGATTGCGCGTCCATGTTCTTCGAATGGGTGGAGTCAGGGCCAGCGTTGGAGGAAAGAAGGTAGGACCTTTTGAGTTGTGTATTTTCAAAATCTGCCAGCCGTTTTGCAAATCCCATACCCTACCTTTAAATAAACCTCACCAACCCCAAACTCTTGAATGTTTGAGTGTAATATTCCTTGTATAATATGAGGCTTTTACCCTGCAGACCCCACAGCTGCAGCACCAGGGCATTGCTCTGCAGGTGGTTCAGCAGTTCCTGAGAGGTTCTCAAAGCAGTGAACTGGACTCTGTGGTCCATCAGCGGGTTCACATTGTGCCATATCGCTGGAGTGTAGAGGGGCTGCGGGCAGTCAAACACCCGAAACCTGTCAAGCAGAGTTCAGGTCATTCTTTAGCTCAAATCAAATTTAATTTCAAATCTCAACAGGAATGCAAATCATCAGATATGGCATTATTATTAACTAAAACTAAAATAAAGCTCAAATCAAATCAAATATAAATTTTAGATGGAAAAACAAACTAATGTTTTTTTTTTTTAAATAAGCTTAAATTACTAACTGAAA